ATGGCCTGGGAGAGTGGGGGGGGGGGAGAGTTGGTAGGGGGGGGGTGTTTAAATCCTAAACCCAACGGCCCCACGGGCTCAGAAACGAGCACTTGTCCGTGCTGCTTTGTTTTGTTCGTACCTCCCTCATTTGGGGGTTGTTTTTCTTGTGTTTTCCCCTAGGCTTTCGGGTTGGCTTTCGCGTTTGAAACAGGGTTTCTGGATCTTGGGGCCGCGTGCGTGGGGCTTGTTTGCTTCTGCTTACCTGGCTTTCGGGTGTTCCAATCATTGAGGGGTTGGTAACATACCAAGGAACATGCAGCAACTCTTAGCCAGCGTAGCCTACTTGTGTTCGACAGTGAGGCCTGGAATGACGATGCCCTGAACCCCCAAGCCTGAAGATTTCACCTAAACCTTTCTTCCTGAAGAGCTCTGAAATAAAACGGCTCAGCTACAATTCCATCGATTTCCATGCATCTCGAGGGGAGGGCTCTTGGGAGCCAAGGCTGCGTTTCAAGGGTTGGGGGTTTAGGTTCTCAGGTTGTCGGGGAATCGGGTTCGAGCTCTCTGAGAACAAGCGAGACTTCAGTAGACCGATTGAAGGCGGTTACAAGTTCCCATGTACTTAGGATGCTATCATTCCGGATCTTTGTTGACGCAGCCACATCCTGCCTTGATCATCTGAGGGAGAAGTGACGGCGGCACGAGGGAGGGCAAGACCCAGTGAGGCCTGCTCGCAAAAGGGCTTTAGGCACCGTTTAGGGCTTACCTAAAACCTACCAAAACCGACTTGTTTGCAGGGCCATGGCCCTATAAACTCCATATGAGGGTGTCTTAATAAGAGCCTACAGCAACGTAGGGTTTGGCAGGTTAAGGCATATACGGTTCGGGCTTCTTAAGCTTTTTTGGGGTTCACGCTCTCACCCTCCTCCTCGAGCTGGACACTGGAACTCCACGGAAGACTCAAGACCCCTTATCCGTCCGCCAGTCCAAGAGAGGGGCGTGTCGCCGGGGCCAAGAAGTAAAAACGACAATGCAGCAAGAGGTCGCCAAGAAGAAGGCAAAAAAAATCAACTCTTTCTACGGTTTAGGGTTCAAGGTTTAGGGTTTTTTTTGCGGGGGGGTTTAGTGGTTTAGGGTTTTAAGGTTTAGGGTTTAGGGTTTCAAAGTCAAGCTCTGCAGCGGGAGGCCTGTAGAACTCCTGGTTAAAGCCAATCATCTCCAGCCAGAAGGCCGGATACCCAATGTCAGAGACCTGAACATATCGCATGGGCCATGCAAGTCAAAGTGCATTTGTCGACCGTCACAAGCCCAGATGCAGAGGGCAGTCGCCACTTCAAAGCTGACATCCTTCTTCTCGATATCCTTATAGTGACATTATTATTATTGTTATTCTTACAATTATTACTGTTACTATTATTGTTATTATTGTTATTATTGACCCTCAAGCTTTAAGGAAGGGACCTGAATTCCTGCAACGATGCTCCGGCCTGGTGAGGCGTTTCCGGGGGGTAGTTGTAGAACATGTCGTTGTATCTGACCTCGCACAGGATTGCCCCAATGTTGGGTAGTGAAAACCGGTTGATGCCATGTAAAGGGCAAGAAGTGTACAGTTTCCACTGTGAAGCACAGCTTTCGCGTCAAGTGAAGTGTTAACTACGTAGGATACTTACTGCAATCCTAGCCGCTTTTCCCACTCGAACCCTTCTAGTATGTGCGAGTCTTCTGCATTGCAGGGTTTTGTCGTTGTTGGTTGGGGTTGAACTTCTGCAAGGCAAGGCTTTGCTTTTGTTGTTGCTTCTGGCGTTGTTCTTGTTAGTGCTGGCGATGAGTTGACTTTCAGGTGGTGGCCAGCGCATTGCTGCCAGTACTTACTACGGAGGACAGGTACATAACAGATGTACTGCATGTGCCAACCAAAAGGCAAAAAGGTGTGAATTCGGGTCTCCACGATTGAACGATTAAGGGGACGTCCTACATCCACCCTACCGTAAGTTGTTGTTGACGCCAGCCCTCGGATTGAACAGCCTATGACAAGTTCTAGCCCGACATCGTCGTAGAACATAGGCGCATCTTGGATCCAAGTGGCTACCAGCATGTCTGCCAAGGCCCACCATTCTTCGGTGATGTTGCGCTGCAGCTTGCCTCACAGTTTCTGAATCATCCAAAACCGTGCGGGACACCCTGCACATTCATTCCTCCAACCCAAAACACCGAAACTTACTTACAGCTTGGGATTGCTCGCTCGTGCTCAGAGCTTTACGCTTTCTCCCGCACCGTGGCGCATGAATCAAGGAGAACACCGGAAAAGAAGGGAACGGCAGCTATTGAGCTATGAAGTCTGGCACTACAGTCGTTTGAGCGGGAGCAGGATGCAAAGATATACTTTAGGGGCCTTGTAACATCTGGTGGGGTTCTTATGATTCAGTGAGATGCTGAAAGTTTGAACCTTTGGAAGCCCGGGCTGCACGAGTGTTGTTTCACTGAAGGAGAGCCCTCCTCCTCTATGTAATATAGTGGCCAAATATTTACTTGTACTTGTTTTGGGGGGTTTCCTATTATAGTTATAGTATAATATACCCCAAAACCATGTTCCAATTATGGGTATATCATACTATAACTATAATAGGGGAACCCCAAAATAGTACAAGTCAATATTTAGGCCACTATATTAATTGGAGGAGGAGGCCTCTCCGTGAGTCAGACAACACCCGTGCAGCCCAGGCTACCAAAGGTTCAAACTTTCAGCATGGCACTACATCATAAGAACCCCACCAGATGTTTCAAGTTCAGCATTGCACCACTAAGAAACAACGGACTCTCCCAACCTTTTGTCTCTGCAGGCTGCCCCCTAGGCCCGACAGCAGCTCAGTCGCATGTCCTAGAAACGGGTCATAAACCCACATGAAGCCGTGTCTCTCTGGAAATCCGCCAAATGCTTCGCAGCAGATTTGGCGTGCATCTTGTCCTGACGTTCGGGTGTTTGCGTTTGGGCATCAGGGCTTATTGAGGTTCAGGGGCTCTCTGCTTCAAGTCAGACTTTATACCTCAGCGTAGAGGTCTGGAGATTGTCAGGCCTGTCTTTACAGAAATGGGTTCCCCCTTTTTCTTGCGGCAAAACTAGAAGAAGGGAGGGGCTGGACATTCGGATCTCGTGCGACGGGCTGGTACATGTTGGTAGAAGAACGGCTTTCTATGTAACAACAACACCCGTCCCTGTACATACAACTACGTATATTGTTTGTCATTTGTCTACATACCCTAAACTCTATGCTGCAAGACAAACACACTCATCCGAGGCGAGGCACGGATTTCCGAAGAGCTTCTTCTGTTTCTTCTACGACGCGCAGCTGCGTGCTTTGCACCGCCGTGTACACGTACTGCTCCTCTGGCTGAATTTGCCAGGGCGTCGTGCGGTAGAAGCAGAGTCTAGTATAAGGTTCATGGGCCTAATATCGGGGCTGTATATGGGTGTGTCAGAAAAGGAGGAGCACTTCCAGGAGTGTTGGGATGGGGGCATGTCTCGCGGGTATGTTTCAGGGTATGTTTCGGGGTATGTTTCGCACTGCCGCGACGTAGTCGTAGCAGTAGTAGTAGTCGTCGTCGTCTTCGTTGCAGTAGTAGCAATAGTAGTCGTCGTCGTAGTAGTACTAGTAGAAATTATAGTAGTCGTCGTCGTAGTAGTAGTAGAAGCAGAAGCAGAAGTAGAACTAGAAGTAGAAGAAGTAGAAGTAGTAGAAGTAGCAGAAATAGTAGTAATAGTTGTAGTCGTCGTCGTCATGGTGGTGGTGTCGGTGGTGGTATGGCAGCAGCAATACTAGCAAACTAGTACTGTGATGGTTCCGGGTTGTACGTCCGAAGGTCTTGACTTCCCGGGCGGTAAGTTCAACTTCAGAATGGAAACGGCCAAGGGGCCACCTGGAAAAGATCTGGGTATGTTTCAGGTATGCTTCCGGGTATGTTACGGCTACCCTTTGCTGCGTTGCGCCTGTCTAGACGTTCCTTCACTGCTAGCTTCACCGAGACGGTTGGGATGACACAAGGCTGTGTTTCAGGGGTATGTTTCGCCAGGCCAACATCGCTCCAAGACCACAGTTGGGACATCCAAACAAACTGGCAGACCCATATAGGGAAGAGCCACGGGGTTCTGAGAAGCCCTTTCATGTGGCTTCTGTGGCGAGATCATGTCGATCCATGCGGCTCGGGCCATGCAGTTTAGGGGTCTGAATAGGTATAGAGTTTCGGGGGTGCGCGGGTTTTTAAACCGGTCTTGGTTCACAGTCGTCTCGGTAGCAAAATTCCAAAACGGAGGCTGCCAATCTCAAGAGACACACCTATGAAGCCCCAAACCCTTCCGAACTAAACCCTGGAACCCTGTGGCAGTACGGGAGCTGTTGTGTAAGATATGGGTTCCTTCATAGGGCGCTATATAAGAATGCGATTGAGGTTGCTTTTTGGGACCAGGGCTTCAGAGCCTGTCGGGTTCGTTGAAGGGCTTGCCGAGTAAGGGCACTGTGATGCTTACTATGACGGTTATGAGTAAGGGCTTCGGGGGTTTGGGGCTGGGTTTGCAAGGAGAGTCGCCTCGGCAACTCTGTTTAGGATTTAGGGACCCCTGCAAACCCCGACAGGTTAAAAGATCTGGAACACGCTCGTTCGGAGAGTCCGATCTAATACGTTAAACTCTGAACACACACTACGCAAGGCACTCAGGCGAATGTGCACGGCAACTGAGCCACTCAGCAGCTCTGTAGACAGCATTAGACAGCCTCAATCCAGCACCCTCTATACGAGGTAGCAGAACATGCAAACAACAGCTTCTGAGTGTATGCAAAGCTTCTGACATGTTCTGGTAGGAGATCTCCATCCAGTTTGCCACAAAGTCCTCGGATGGAACGATGTCCAAGCCGGAGAGCACAGCGGTGCGAGCATCCAACTGTGTGAAGCTGTTTCGTTGCTGCCATGCTGCTACGGTTGCTGTGACATGCTCAGTTAGGAAAGCATGACTGAACAGCACAGGCCCGCTGTCACCATGAGACGTTTTAAACAGCCGCCGGTGTGCGCGTGTGTGCGCGTGCATGCATGCCTGCCTGCCTGCCTGCCTGCCTACCTGCCTACCTGCGCGCGTGCATGCGTGCGTGCGTGCTTGCGTAACCTCAAAGCCACCGCCAGGCGCGGCTTAAGGCTTTGCCGGGTTTTGTGTGCAGGGTCTCGGCTGCTGAGCCAAAGCCGGATCTCCAGGCATCCTAATCCGCACTCTGTTCAACTTGGAGCCCACAAAACCGTGCACAACCCATTCCAACCGTCTAGAACAGCCCTGCACACACACACACATGTGTATGTGTGTATATATATATATACACATGCATATATGGCTAGTTCTCTAAATTAGGGCCCCTTTTTGGGTCCCCAATATCGAACGGCACCCTTATAAGAAGAACCCTAAGAGGGACCCTAATTTAGAGAACTACACATATATCTATGCACACACACCCAAACTCCCAGACGGTATAGAAGAAACACCTTCTCCCCAACCATAAGCCCTTGAGACCCGTCCTGAATCTATAAGCCACCTCAGATCCATATTAACAAATACGGCCTTTAAATGTCCCTTACATATATGATATGACAATAAGTGCAATGCTACCAGTATGTAAGACGACCTCAGAATTAAAGCAACTTGCGATTTGCCAGGACTCGAACGCCCACCACGCCGGCCGTACCTTGTGAGCGCGGCATTTCAGGTTTTGCAAGGTCTTGCGTTTTCGAGCTTAGTGCTTTCCGATGTCCAAGTCTTCTTAACCTGCACACATCTGTAGAAGCTTTAGGTTTGAGTAGGGTTGGGAGCTTTATCGCTTGAAGGTTTACTCTGTATTCCCCTAGGATGGTAAGCAAACATATTTTTTTGGGGGCCCCTCAACCTTCAACCCTACTCATAGTCTCCATTCTAGTTATGGTTCCTTTTTGCCATTACCTTATAGGATTCTAAATATAATCCACAACAAGGAACTATAACATAATGAAGCCTATAGGTGGCCAATAATTCCCGAGAGGCTGAGGGCTCTAGGGAATCTAGGGGGTTTTGTTCGGGAGTCCTCAAAGCTTGATGGGAAGGGAAGCTAGGGAATTTGGATGCCCCGGCATAGAGAGGGTGAGGTTTAGGGTTTAGGGTTTGGGGGTCGGACTTCTCCCGGTGAGCGGTCGGGTTTGGGGCATTGCTTTTGGGTTGGGGCGGCTGAAGTTGGCAGGATCAGCAGAGAAGTCAAATCTTGCAGAGTGCAGGACGTAAAGTTAAGTTTAGGGCGGGTGCATGCTGCGGTTCAGGGCTCACAGCTAGAGCAACTGCAGAAGTCTATGTACAGTATTTGTTTGTTAACTATACACATGTGCACGCATGAATGTTTGGAGCCAACCACCGCTACATAAGCATCCACATGTACAGGAGCTTGTCCATGCATACATACATACGTACATACATACATTTATACATACATGCATGCATACATACGTACATGATCTCGTACATGCACGTGCGCATGCACGCTCAAAAAATGCATTTCACCACCCGCCTAATTGCCCCATGTATGCCCATGTTGCTCACAACGTCTGTCTGTTCGGGGCTCAACATGCGACTACCCTGCTGGAACCGAATCTCACGGGTACGTGGAGGATCCAGATCATGTTTGACAGCTTCAGAAATTTGGAGCCCCCATGGGCCATCCTTCAAGCACTGAATAATACAATCTTGTACGATCCCAATTACCTAAGAGGACACCCAAGCACCACGACATCCGCATTTTTGGCGCCTATAAGCCCTGCCAGACCTGATGAAGCCCTCTCAAGCCCCGGAATCTCTTGTAGTACAAACAACACTGCATCTCCCAAGATGCAGTGTCGTGCTTCGAGAAGACGAATGATTTCTGGGAGCCAGTTCCATATGCCTCCACGTCGAACCTGACTCGACGACTGGGCGTTAGGGTTTATTGGTTTTGGGTTGTAGGGACTATAGGATCGTAGGATTTATAGGGCTTAGGATGTTCTTTTGGAAAAATGGGGGGGGAGGATTCGGACTTGAAAGGGCTGGAGGTTTAGGATTTGGGACTTCCGGGTCCCGGAGTAGAGCGCTTCTGGAAGTGTGGTCATGCTGAGGTCATGCTTCTCTAGCGTATTGCAGAGGTGTTAGACAGGCTGCTTTTGATCATGGTGAGTCGTGGTGTTCGGCATCAGTTCAGCTCTCGGAAATGATAATGATAGGGTCTATAGAGTCTAGAGGTATGTCATGGTATGGCCGCCGTATGGCCCCTATCGAACCTGCATCGCTTTGAGTTGCAGAAGGGACAAAGAAAAAGTCAGCTCGCGTGACTGCTCTGCGAAGCATGAAGGTATGGTCCCTATATAAAGCTTACAAACTCTAAATCCTAAACCAGAATTTCGGGACCCTAAGCCCTTGTTTTGAGCAGGGACTGCACTGCACTAAGCCCTTCTCTTGAACCCGTACTGGGGCCGATGCTTGTGACGGGAGGGAGCGTTCTCCGAACAGCACTAAGCCCCGAACCTCGGTTCGAGGCTTTAGGGTTTTAGGCTTTAGGGGTTTAGGGTGTTAGGGTTAGGGTTTAAGGGTGTTAGGTTTAGGGCTTTAGGGCTTTAGGGGTTTAGGGTGTTAGGGTTTAGGGGTTCCTAGACCAGAATTTCGGGACCCGAAACCCTGAACCCTAGCCGAAGCGGATGAAGGCAAGCAGCCGGCCATCCGCATCCGCCAGGGCGGAAGAGAAGAACGGAACGAAGACGGAAGATGCCGAGCAGTCAGGGGCGAACCAGACCTTGGGTTCAGGGTTTAGAGGCTTCATAGGGTTTAGGGTTTCGGGATTCCTTTAAGGGTTCTAGACGGGGTTTAGGGTTTAGAGGCTTGAAGGGAACAGGGGCTTAGGGGTGTAGAGGTGTAGGGGTGTGGGGGCTGTAGGTGTTAATGACTTTTGGCTTGGTGGGGCTGCGGAGCCATTGGTTGCCAGACAGCCCGCGACACCCAAAACATCGAGCCCCAGACCCTAAAACCCTGAACCCTAAACCGCCCCAGAGCCCTTATAACTCGACCAAACCTCACGCCTTGAAGCACACGAGCCTCCAACCGCAGTGTGAACTAGAAACAGTCTATAGAGTCCGGTGTACCTGTCAAGCCCAGACCACAAGCAAAGCTTCAATCAAACAGTCCACACTCATTCGACAACCTGACTACCTACCGAATCCCAGGCCGAAACAGAGTGACAAACCACAAAATACTGATCAAAAAAGACAATGACAATTCACTCTTTCTCAAGCCATGCGCATTCCGAGCCATCTAACCATAAACTTACACCAGGGTTTTCAATTGCAGGGTTCATCTTCTTTATCAGCACCAACATCATAATGTTCGTCTTCGGCTTCCTCTTCGTCATCGGCGTCATCCTGATCAACTGCTGCTGCACGGGTATGCACACCGAGCTGCACGCGGCTGGTGAATGGGCCCGGACTGCACAATCTGTGTGTAGGAAGTGCGTGGAATGGAGGTGGACCGTGCGAACTGTCCGGGAACCTGGGCGGCACATGAAGGTATTTACATCAACGAAAGATAAAACGAACAACGACGAAGGAACGAACCACAAAAGTATCTAAAACAACGGGCGATTTGTATCGTCAGGGAGTGTACGTGCATACATATACATATACATGTACATGTACATGCACATATACATATACATACGCATACATACATGCATGCATGCATACGTACATACATTCATGCATACATACACGCACGCATACATGCATACATTACCTTACCTTACCTTACCTTACCTTACCTTACCTTACCTTACATTACATATACATGTACACATTCCTATGTTCATATGCTTCGCTTTTTTATCTGAACTGTGCTTACATTAAGTGTATGCGCTCCTGTTGCGAGATGGCTGTAAATATGATCGCCCGCACTGAAACTCTTGTTGCTCCGCTCATCATGCTCAAGCAGCGATTAGTCAGGCTAGAAACATGCTCTGCAAGCCCTTCTCATATGTACATTCAGTGTACTAAACACGTGCTAACAAACAGTAATTACACGGTGACAATCACTCTACATAGCTGTGCGGGCAGTGCAGAAACAAACAAAATGAGTGTTTGTCGTTGACACCCTTCGCCCTCCCACGCTGGATTGTGAGTGTGTGTGTGTGTGTGTGCGCGCGTGCGCCTGCATGCTTCACCTTCATATTGAATCAGGCATGTACGTTTCATTAGTATGAAAACCAGCTTCTGAGCCTAAGACTGAAACGAGTCCTAGATGATTCGCCCCGGCCCCGGCCCCCTTGTTTCCACTCCTCTGAATCCCCTTCTCAGTAACCCCTCATCCAAATACTCACCCCGTCCCCCGCCTTGCAGCCGGGCCGAGGCGGACGACGCGAAGCATGTACAAATTTGTGACTCCTCGACTCCTCACTACATTTTACAGAAGACTGCTTGTTTGGAGAACTCGAAAAATAAGACTCGGCATCCATGGCAATCAAAACCCGAATCTCTTCAACCCCAAACGCAAACCCCTAGACCCGCCTGCACTACATCCATCTGTCAAGCCACCGATCGTGCGCCGACGCCGCCCTCGGCACGGTTGGGAGACTGCCAGGGTCCGGCCAAGCTGCCGTAGCGCATGTCGAACCTGGGCTTCAGGGTTGGACGGGTCCAGGGTTGAAGGGCGCAGGGCCGAAAAGGCTTAAGGGTATGAGGCTGGAGGGTTTAGGGTTTCGGGCTTTCGAGTTTAAGGGTTTCAAGGTTTGCAGGTTCAAAATTTCAAAAATTCAGTGTTTGCTGTACTGTAAGGGTTTAGAGTAGAGGCCCAGGACGACTTCCCTGGAAAACTACGTAAGGCTTCGAGGTCTAAGGACTTTGAGTTTGTCTTGTTTTGCTGTATGGCAAGCCTGCGTGAGTCTTAGGGTTTAGGTCTTGGGCTTGTTCAGAATTGAATGGCCGTCAGTCCGGGATATGATGACTTGAGATTCCTGCGTTTCACCGAGGCTTCGTTAACTACCTACTCTAGGTTCCCCAGAAGCCCTTTACCAATAGGGGTCCCCTTTTTCCTAATTCTCGGTTTTAACAAGGAGACCCCACAATACAAAAGGGCACAATGGTACTATACTGGGGAACCTGGTGCCATTAGGGCTTGATATCGTGGAGGGCCCAGGCGGCACGTAGCAAGTTGGCCCTTCAATGAAGACCGGGAGCTCGGTACCCTCGTAGTGCGTCCGGAACCAGTTCATCACGTCCTCAAGGGGGCTTCCCGGCAGTCAGCTCTTCTGATGCAATGGGCCGCTACACGGGGCAGTAACCTACTGCAGAAATCACGGCAGCTGGGCGCGCGTCTGGGAATAAAGGGACTGCAGTAGGTTTCGTGTGGAGCTTCGGAGTGGATGTGCTGAGCTCGGACTGGGAAAAAACGACCCAAGTGGGAGCTGACTACGGGTTTCGGAGCTACCACTCGGAGAAGGCAGGCGAGGTTATTGGATCACTATGGGTTTGGGGCTGAAGGGTTCAGAGGCATTCCGCACACTGCGGGTTTAGGTTTGAGGTTTGGCGTAATTGCATGTTCGGATAGGAAAGGCGGCCGCCAGCCGAGCTCCACTGAAAAAAACAGCCCGAGATGAAACAGCCCATCACAGCCACCACTCTGTGCAGCGCTCGCATGTATTGCAGCTGATGACGCGTCCCATACGTGTTCATTCGCTTCTGGAGGAAGCTATGGATATGCTATGGCCTGCAAACCCAGCTACAAAGACAGTAGGTGGCGGCCCCTCCAAAACCGGAGTATAGCAACCCATGATTTCAGCGACAAGGACACTGGTCTAAATCCTAAACAATAGCCCTTCCCAACAGAACCCCCGATGAGGGACGGGTATTCAAATTTCTGGGCTTCCAGTCATTGCTTTTCAACCCCAAAAGTACCCCTAAAGCCCTCAACTTTGCCTCATAGACCAGAACCCGGTTCACCTCAAGGCGGCTGGGGGCTTAGGGTTTATAGGATGTCTGAGGAGGGCTCCCAGGGTTTAGAGGAGCTTGGAAGGCCTGAACCGTCGCTTTGCCCTCGACCGGCACGGAGAAGGGAAAGCTTCCCCTGAGCAGCGCAGCTCGAGGCAACTCGAAACGTTTTTCAGGGTCCAGGAAGTCCGTCTTACATGGCTCGGCTACACATATACTTGCGGAAGTGTACGACTCAATGCTTCTTCTAGTTTGCTTTTGGATTCTTGGGGCGGGGAAGTGTAGGATGAAGCACAGGATCTTGAAAATGAAGGGTTTTTAGGCTTGGCATTTATCTTGGAGGGATCGGGGTCTGGTTTCGAGGTTTTGGCGGCCCCGGGCAGCTCTAGATACCCCCAACACCCAGACGGCTGTCCTGCTAGATGGGTGGGGTGGGGGGGGGACCACTAAACCCGGTCCAGAAGGTTTAGGGGTAGAGGTTTAAGGTTTAGGGCTTAGGGGTTGAGGGTTTAGGGCTCAGGGTTTGGAGTTTTACCACACTAGAAAGAGTGCTTGAAGCTTCAACTCTACAGCCGGATTCTGCACTCTTACAGAGCGAAGCTGCAACCAGGCGAAATCCTACCGGAGCCGGTGCATGCAGCTTTCGCAACAGAAAAGGCACCCTCCCACTCTAAGCCTCACTAGGATACCGGAGCCACCACACAACAAAGCCTCAATGCCCAAACACAAAGCCCTCCGCTCTCACCCCTAAGACCCTCTAGTACCATTCATTGTACCCTTCTGCCCCAGGGTACCCTTTTTTATCATCCCTTCACAGGAACCCATTACTATACCCTTTATACTGGTAGTACACTTGTACCTACGGTACCCCCCCCCCCCTCCCCTCTAACTCTTTAAAGGTGCCTACACCCTAAACCCTAACCCCCCCCCGCCCCCTTAAAAAAGGAACCTTTCAGTCGCTGCGGTCGGGCAGCAAGTCCGGCGTGGCTTGGAGGCCAGAGTTGGGCGCTGCTTGACGGTACACGCCCCACATACCTGTAGTAGCTTAGGGCAACCCTTGGGGTTTAGGGTTTAGGATTTGGATAGTAACTTAGGGAAACCTTTGGGCTGTAGGGTTTAGGATTCAGGTCGTAGCTTAGAGCAACCTTTTGTTTCCCTCCCACTTAGCTTGGACGAGCCCGCATTGCAGGGGTTTAGGGTTTAGGTCACTTAGGGCAACTTTTGGAGCGTTTTTTCTCGGAGGGCCTTTTTCCACAGCATGTCTGCAGAGAGCCTCCAACAGGCAGGCAGGTGCTGCCACCTTTAGCCACACATTAGACCAACTTTCGAGGTTTAGGATTCAGGGTTCAGGGTTTCCGCTCGCAGGCTCGCCCAAGGAAGGCAGGTATCCGCATCAACTCCAATCGACTTTCTATTTTGATGTGGAGCCAAAGCAGCTGGGACCGAGGGTTTATCGGGCCTAGAGGTTCGGGATTTCCTCCCTGCCTTCATGTCATCTTTTGAGGCCCCCCGCATAACTGGACGGCAACAAACATCTAATCACGATCCCCGAGCACGCCCGACCTGCTTTGGGTGTGTTGCCTCCCGGAAAGGGGCTAGGGTTTCGGAGAAGCAATCAATCGGGGCTCAGGCTTAGGGTTTTGGGTTCTGGGATGAGGGTTGGGATTGACTTCCCGTTAAGCAGGAAACGATGACCCTTTCTATTTGCGGACCTCGTTTGGGGTTCTGGGCTCTCACCGCCCCGCGGCCCAAAGTTGTTAAGGCTTGAGCTGCTCCACAGCCTGTAGCGAAGCCGGTCTGTACAGCATAAAAACCCTGAGCATTCTCTTACACACCCACACACCCGTCTGTCAAAAGCCCAGGAAGATTGGACACCTCATCCCGAAGGCTGCCTGCTGACATGGAAACCCAAAAGCCTTTCAAAGGTCAGCCGAGCAGCGCAGGGTCGAGTACATCGGGATGGGCGCGAGTCCCGGGAAGTAACCTCAATGCCAAGACCCCCCAAACCCCTTTTGCAGCTGGGCCTCTATCGCCGGGTAAACTCCCCTTTTTGGAGCTCGTGCTGAAACCCCAAAACCCTAAACCATAGCTTCATAGCTCCCACGATCCTACATCCTACATCTTTGGAAACGGATTTGACGGAAGCTCCCCCTTCGTGAAACAGCAAATATGCAGCAACTGCAACGAAATCTGAATTCCCTAAATCGTAAACTTCGCAAAGATGCCCGTGTGGTCGAGATAGTCTGAATGGAACCCTGGTGGAAGCAACCCGATATTATAACTCTCAGGCACTGGCCCCCTGAAACCCGAAGCCCCAAAAATCATCCACCCTAAACCCCAACAGTTTAGGGGTTTAGGGCCTTAGCCATAGCCCCATGACCTTCTTCTGGCTTAGAAGAACCCTCGAAATAGAGGGCCTAAATAGTTACCAATACTAGTTGGGGGTTCCATGTCATAGTTATAGTAATAGTATAATATACCCCCCCATATCCAACTCTGATTATTCAGGCCCCTCTATAGTATTAGTTCCTTTATGGTATAATATACCCCCAAACCCTACTCTGACTTTTCAGGCCCCTGTATTCCATCCCCAGGATTCCGATCGGCAGCTGAAGGTGGCCAAGTCGGGTTGAACGATGCGCTGCCAATCCAGTGGGCCAAAGCCATCCCAGAGCCCCGACTCCTGGACATCTTAGCTCAAGGGACTAAAGGAGAGACCCTTAAAGGGACCCTTGGGGTTAAATAGGGGCTGTATGAGACTATATGAGGGGTATATAAGGGTTCTACTAGGGTCTTAGGATTAGGCGTCCCTTCTAGGGGTCCCTCCTATTGTCCCTTAATTAGCGGGATGAAGGCTGCAAGTGGGTGGTATTAGGTCTAGGGTTTCTAGGGTCTACGATGGCTTAGAGCAAAAAGGGTGCAAGGGTTGTGGAGTTTGGGGTTTAGGTTCCTGTTGGGGTCAGGGTGGCGGGCTCATGGCGTAAACAACCCCAAGGCCTAAACCCGAAAAGCCAACACCCCAAATGCTAAACCCTGAACATCAAATCCTACATACAAGGTCCAATAAGGAGGAACCCCATGACATACGTGTACTAGCACCAAAAGTTCCCAGGGAATTTTTACCCACCCAAACCGTAGTCTATTGAATCCTAAGGGCCTTGGTAATTAGGAGTAGGGTTTGGGGCGGCATATTATACCATTACTAACTATATATGTAACAAGGATTCCCATGGAAACATCTTTCTCAGCTTCTGCACGAGACCCAAACAGTCCCTGGCCTTCAGAAGATCCACGATTCCAGGGTGCGCCATGAAGTTCTTTTTGTCCGCCAAGTCCACTGTGCGGATGATCATGCCTCAAGGTAGCGGCTTACAGTAGGGCTTGGGGTTAGAGCTTAGGGTTCAGGGCCGCCCCAAAGGGAATGTTTGCAGAATGCATTCATCACGACCACAATCATCACATCACTTCCACATCATCATCATCATCATCATCATTGAACCATCATCATCATTTCACGTCATCCTCATGATCATCATCAACAACAACATGATGTGACCACCATCATCGGAGTGACAGCATATTCACCATCGTCATACAAAAATTCAGCGGCATCTTAAATTAGCAAGATCATCGAGAACAGAAGCCATTCCGGTGAAGATCATGCTAATGCCGTCGGATCCGAATCCTCCCTCCTCCTCCATTTGTTATAGATTAGCTGACACAGCAGTCGTCGGTCCAAGGGGTAATACAGAAAGCCAAGGCAAAACACATCCTCTCTCTCTTCTTCGCTGTAGCACAGTCAAGGATCAAGAAGCAATCAATAAACCAAAACGCATGGACAGAACACCTCCGGCTGTCAGCTGTAGTGACTGTGACATGCGCTGATCTATGCTGCCGGGGCTGCTGTTGGCAATCACGGCCACATGGCCACTGGGCACGCGTTGGGCGACCCAGAGCGCACCACGTTGTCCAGCCCAGGGTGCCGAGGTCGCATTGTTGGGAACTCCACCTGAGATATCACAGAAAAAAAGCCCTAAACCCTAACCATTCGTTGAGACAGACAAGCTGCTTGCTTCAACCTTGAGCTACCTCATGAACAGCTGCAGTTGTCCAGACAAATCTGCCACGTTTTTGCCGGTCAGGCGATAAACCCTAGACCCTAAACCCTAAATCCCCTAGAGAGCTCTGAACCCTGACCTGAAACTTACGAGTCGAACCCCAAACTGTTCTTGTGGGGTCTGGGATCCACCTGAGTGGGCTGTCAGTGTTCCTATACTCCCCCGGCTCCAAACATTCCACCGTTCACCACGAGCTGCGGGTCATACCAACTCTCTTTGCTGAAGGTTTCTAATCTTATCCCCCTAATATTAACACTGGGGGGCCGCCCAGCAGGGGGGTATTTTTTCTCAATTGTCAGATTTGGGTGCAAGAGTAATTCATCGGACTAGTAACTAACACGAAGACAGGCAAGGAGACGGAAAGAAGGGATCATGCGGCAGAGCCTGAATTTGTCTTTTCAGACAGACAGGCGGTCAGGCCTGCAGATTTATGAAAATGTGAGGCAGGCTTCGGACAGCCGCGCTCACAGACAGGCCGAGCTGCAGACAGGCCGTTGCAGCTGAGACAAGACAGGCCTAAACCCTCAACTTTCCACCCTAACCCCCCCTAATTCAGAATAGGTTTTATAAAGGACAGTGATGATTTCGGGAGGATTGGGCGCAATATGAGATTTATTCTTAGGGGGGCGGTGTTTAATTCAAAAGGGACGTGATTATGTACAAATATACATGGAGAATCCCAAGCCGTATAGAGACCCCCAATCCCAAATCCTCAAACCTAAAGCGTGAACTCAGCACGGCCCTCAACCCTACGCACAAGCTGTCGTAAACCCTCACGGACTTCCGTGCTGCCAGAATGGCATCCCCGAGTCTAGAATTAACCTTGATAGAGACCCAGTAAAACCCTCAACGGACGTCCTATAGAAGCTGGCTTAAACCCCTTAAACCCCTTGTGAAAAACCCACCCTAAGCCCTAAACCCTAAACCCTCAACCCTAAGACCCTAAACCCGACCCTAAACCGTAAGACCCTAGGCCCTAAACCCTAAGACCCTAAACCAAACCCACCCTAAACCCTAAACCCTAAATCCAAAACCCTAAACCAAACCCACCCTAAACCCGAAACCGAACCCCCCTGCGGTGCAGCAGAAGCTTCCGCAGATGTGGAAGACCCAAGCTTCCCCCGTGCGATCCACCAGGGTCACGGCCTGCGGAACCCTGGAAGCCCAACTGAATATAAGCCCTCTAGGTTTAGGGTTTAGGGTTTTGGGGGTTTAGGGTTTAGGGGTTTAGGGTTTTGGGGTTTTGGGTTTAGGGTAGAAGCCCCAAGTACCTAGGGGGTTTAGGGCTTATAATTAGAAGGGTTCAGAAGGGAATTAAGGATTTTGGGGTGATGCGGCTTAGGGTTTGGGAGGGTTCGGAGTCGAGGTGGGAGGTTTTTCAGCTGTAGGGATTCGGGTGGGCTCAGGGCCGGTTTAAGGGCTTAGGGTTTAGGTTTTTTTACGGGTTTAGGGGTGTTTAGGGCTTAGGTTTTTTGTTTTATAGGGTGTGTTCTCTGTGGCTTGACGTTTCCAAGAAGGTAGTTACAAAGAACTACAGGGCCGGCCCGCCCGATGAGACCCCAGGAAGACGACGAGTCGGCGGGCAAAGCCTTGAACTCATTGATGCTTGTGGACTTAAATGTTCCGGTCCTGAAAATTCGAGTTCACCGATTTTAGGTGGCAATGGCAAAATCTTCAGCCTCCAGGCTAAATCCAACCATACACGTGGTTCAACACCACTAGAGGAGTTTAGGAGTTTAGGGTTTAGCCGAAAGCCAAAACTTTGCGGAGTTTAGGCACTAGGATCGTGACTCAGGTCGCGCGTTGGTCGGAGCTCGGCCTTTGATGGAGCTTGTGCCTTCACCGCTGCGGTGCTTTGCAGGACTGTACAACTGTAAACAACTGCTTGTAAGCAGAACGAACGATTCAAATTGCAATGTTTCAAAATCAGAGCCGTGTGAACAGATTGGTGGCTAATGGGCCATCACCACTCTTTCAGAGAAGCCACTGCCAACCAAATACGGACCGCACATGGATGGCCCCATGTGGACCTGATTCCTGATCTACTTGCTCCCACTGCCTCTGGCTCATTTGTGATCCGACCCTCCGAGAACAAAAGGAAGCCGGTCGGTCTGTCTCAAAACGGTCTATACACACACACACACACACGTAGAAGCGAATCACGCTTTCTTGGCGTCCCACTTCCCTTCCTTCTTCATCCTGGGCTGGCCCGTATAACCCTTTTTGAGTAACTAACTGCATCTCAGACTCGATATTTAGGGGACAATGTCTCAATTGCCTACCTAGAGTCGTCTCCACCATCCACTGCACCACTTTCAGTCCGGCTGCAGAGGCCGCCGGGGCATCGCGCTCGCAAAGCTTTGCCCTCTGCTCGAGCGACACGTCACCTGAGAGTCTCACAGGGGAAAGAACCCCCCCCTTCTGCAAAGCCCTTTGGGAAGTAAGACGCGACAAACGCATGCAGGGTATAACATCTAAGTCTACTTAATATCATACAACAAGTAAACTTTATCTTAAAAAGTCATTTCATGACAATTTAAGAAAGCCCGCCCAGAACCAGGCCATCGGACTTGACGATGCCATCCTTTCCTGGCATGGCACGCATCCCAATCTTCACCTGGGTGTGACGTTTAGGGTTTAGGGGCTAGCTGAGGATGCTAGTTCGAGATGCTCTATTTGGGAAAGTATGCGGCTTTTTCTATGTCGTGTCGCTTTCCCTACTCGGGCACTATGGTGATTTACTTGACTTAACAAACTCCACCACCAGAGCCCCGTCACTGTCTTCTGGAGCATCCATCCGTGGTACTGCATGAGGGTTTGCTTGTAGGCCTCCACACCGGCATTGCCGGTCTCCTGGGTGAACATCAGCTTGATCATAGTCAGGAAGAACTGCACACCCCTCAGGAGCCACGTGACACCGACGACGGAGGAGGATTTGAGATAGCCGGAAAAAGTTGCCCTCTCTTCTGGAGCCTGCTCGTAGACCACCTGGGCCTTCTTTAAGTTGCTCTCAATGTCACTGAGAACGAAGCCGGTTGCTGAGCCAAGCTTGGAGAGCATGTCGCGGTACAGCTCACAAGCCTCGAAGAACTTCGCCATGTCGATGTTCCTGAGGGTGCCTGACTCGTCCCACACTTCGCAGGCTTTGAACTTCTCCACGAGGAGCCCAAACCTAGTTTCGTGCACCAGGTGCACAGGCTTCATGCCGGCTGGTCTCGCTGCCTGACACGGAGCTTCGGCTGTTTCATCTCCTGATGCGGCATCGACTTCCGGCATCGCGGCAGGGGATGCAGTGCTCTCGGCTTCCATGGAAGGAGCCGGAGACTGTGTCGAGGTTTCTTCGGCAGCATCGTCCTTAGCCTTCGGCAGAGATGGGACGACGACCTCCTCGGCAGTGGGTCCCTGAGTTGCCTGGCAGTTGCCCATGCTGAGCAAAAGTGCGCAAGACCTCACTGCTGGGGATCGGGATGCAGCCTTGAGCCGCCTGCGGGCGCGAGATTTCCAGATTCCCTATACCCATAGGCCCCCCTAGTTCCTTTTTGGGGTTACCTTATAGGATTCTAAATATAAACCATAAAAAGGAACTACTTAGCCTATGGGTATGCACCCTTTGATTGCAAGGGATCGAACCCATCCTTCGGGCATGCTCGCCTTGAGCCGCTGTCCGGCCTGCTTCTGCCGTCTGGGTGGTTCTCTAAATTAGGATCCCTTTTTAAGGTCCCCAAAATAATACGCCACCCTTGTAAAAAAGGACCCGAAAAGGGATCCTAATATAGTGAACTACCCATCTGTCTGTCCCCTTCTTACAGGTGCAGAACACTTAAACCCTTTTCAGCACGGGTTTTGGGTGTATGCCGGCAAGCCTAAACCGCTAAACCCTAAACCCACTGCTCCTTATCAATCAGAGTATCCACTCTCCCGGACGGATGCAACCAGAGAGCCTTATTCGGAGAGGAGCCGGGTAGGGTGTGTGGCGGGGTTCGAACCTCCCCGGCACCGCCATAGCCGGGATCCTCGCCATAGAAGCCGTACTTGGCACCAAGCTCACCCATGGTCTGGATCCTAAGTCTCACATCCGGGGATGCAGCCCCTAGAAACCCTAAAGCCTAAACCCGAAATGGCCCTAAACCTTCACCCCACCGTACACCCTGAATCCTGCAGCTGGGCCCTGCGCCTACACTCGAACCCCATAACCCCCACCGCAAGTTCATCATTGAGTTTGCTGGAAGTTGGGGCTCTTGGGCTGTGCTGGTTTTAAGTCGTGGGGTTTTAGTACCGGTTTCTCGCTCGATGCTTTCCACTGCGATGAATGGATTATGGGTCTCGAAACTCACTCTCGGTTTTGTCACCTAGGTTTGTGATTACTGAACAGAATGGCGACCCCTAACAGCTGCACTTTGGAGCAGCCTCTCATTGAGGATTTTGAGGTGTATGGCTTCCTAACCCAACCCGAACCCTAAACCCTAAACCCTAAATCCCTAAACCCTAAAACCCTAAACCCCTAACCCCCCACAAGGCAGAAACTAAGCGCCACAAAGGCTCGCACAGCGAGCAGTCTTGCATCGCTCCAAGGCGATGGCCATGAGATTCCCAATGCTGAAAAGGGCAGCTCCACCATCAGACACTCCTCTTCGAGGGTTTTGGGTTTAGGGTTTAGCTTCCGGGACTTACGGTTCTACTTGGACCTTACCAAATGTGCCTTTTGGGACATTTCGGAGGTGACCCACAAATCAAAGCCACGAACCTAAGCAGGTAGCTTCTGTAGGGTCAAGGTATGGGTTTGGATGTTCAGTTTACAACATCGTAAGTCCTTGGCGGGCTTGTACACATCTGTTCGGGGAAGCCGAACGCATCGATACCCCACAGCCCGAAGTTCTGGGGCTCAGGGTTTATAGGTAGCCATACAGGTGCGCGTAACGGGGGGGCCTTAATTTAATAACCCTCCGCAGGTTACGCTGTCATGTTCTTATATGATGAATCTAGTAGCATGTACATGAAACCTGTCTCAAGACGAAGCACCGCACTGTCTACGCCGCCTCCTTGGGGAAATGTCAGTGCAGCCTGTTCACAGTACACATGTCGACCGACCATATCTCCTTCTATGTCTATAACTAGGTGTGTACGTGGACATATGTATATATACATACATACATACATACATACATACGTACATACATACATACATACATACATACATACATACATACATATGTGTGTGTTTGTGCGTGTGTATCGTTGCTACGATTATGTCCATAGTTTGCATTCGGGCCAGTGTGGTAGATTGTGGTAGTAACAGCACTTTCGGGAAGAGGGTGTGGAAGCAAAGAGCCCTCTGATTCCAGCACTGGAGATCTGCGGGGGGATTTGATCGGGCATTTGTGGGGGTCTTCGTGAGGCATGTAAGGGTTTTCTCTAGACAGTAGTAAAAAAGACTGTAGCAAAATGTAGGATGTCGTTGCTCGTGCTGTGCGAGCCAAAGAAATTCAACTCGACCCTGCCCCCTGCACCCTGGTCCCTCAACCACCGCGCCTTTCCCAACCAGGAAGGCGGGGCACGTGGACTCGCCCAGTCCTGTCTTAGTTTTCGACCTTCACAATTCAATCAATTCTTGAGGCTTTGCTATAGGATTCGTGTGAAGGCTGCAAGGTACTTTTGCAGGTAGACGGCAGACGCTCCAAAGGGGTTCGTGCTTCCCGCGTTGTGTTTTCCTTGTCAGATTCACCGGCCATTGAAAGGGCCACTGTATTAGCATACGATTGTGCATTCTTCTGTCAGGTCAGCTGGATTTAGTGAGCTGTATCTTGATCCGTCGGCATGCCCCCAAATGAAAAGAGAGAGGAGGGACTCCAAAACCGGGATTGCAGGGTTCGGATTAAGGAAGGGTGTAGAGTAAGGCTTAGTGTTAAAGTTAAGAGTAGGTTGTAAGCAAACGAGATTACCCAGGTTGGCCAGTAGCGCCCGAGTTAAAGAAACCTAAAGCGAAAGCGCGCCCAACTCCACGAAAGCTCCTGCAACGCTCTCTAAATCCCATAACAAGGCCCTTATTCTTACAACGACGGATATTGTGAATAGCCCGGCTGGGATCACTGCTATGCTCAGTTGCAGCATCTCCCAACCCCAAACCCTAAACCCGCTCCAAACAGCCAAGCTTCCCAGGCCATGTTCATTCATCAGGCCATAGGAGGCTTCCCAAAGTGCATAGGTTTGGTTCACCTGAGTTCTTAGGGTATAAGATTTTGCTGTTTTGGGTGTGTGCGTGTGTGTGTGTGAGAGAGAGAGAGAGAGAGAGAGAGACAGAGAGAGAGAGAGTGTGTGTGTGTGTGCGTTGCTTGTGGGGGGGAGGTGGAGTGGTCCTAGGTGTCGGGTTAAGGTGTTTTTAGGTGTGACCTGGAGTTTCGATTGTATTTAAGGTATTGCCTGTTTTGATTGGGTTAGTTTGGGGCTTAGGGGGTACACAGAGCTTCTGGGTTGTATTTTTGGGGCCCTTGAAAGTATGTATGAATAGGTACCTCTCCGGGAACCTAAAGGGCAATTACAGAGTTTTCCAACGCGCCACCTAGGTGTTTATGGTGTACGATTTTGGGGATTATGGTTTAAGGTGTAGGGTTTTCTTTGGTTGCTTGGCTGAGTATGGGCTGGAGCTTGTGCTTAGGGAGTTTGGGTGCAAATGTTCTGCTTGGTGCAGCGATGGCCTTAGGTGTCCCTCAACTCGGGGCCCTGTATTGCGGCTCCGTGCTGACGGAGACACCTTGATTAAAATACCTGCTTCGCTCGACATGTGGCTCATAACGGTTTACCATCGGGGGTCCTACATCCAGCTCGGCATTTTCGTGTAAAGCCGAGTTGCCTGAGGTATCCGACCGAGCTCCTCCGGGCAAGGGATAATCAGAGGAAGTTGATCATGTCGATAAGTCGGGTGCTTCTGCCGATGGTGATTCGTTAGTGGGGATGCGCTTTTCATGGCAATTGTGTTAGTTTGTCGACGTGGATGTTGGTGTTGGTGTATGTAGCGCTGCAACATGCTGCAACTATAGTAGTCGGCTGCTAGTGCGTGTGCTGACGAAAACCCACGTGGTTCCGGGTCCATAGCCGTAGCCGGCATGTGAATGCGCTCATCGAGGAAAGCAAAACGTCTCCTGTACGGTTGCTGTTTAGGACCTATTCGTTGCAGTGTGAGCAAACACCTCCATATTGAAACAGCGACGGGCGCTCGATTGTTGTACCAGGGGAAAGCAGTTATGTCATCACATTCACGGCTCGAACATCCGAACTCCGCGTCCTTGGATGCTGTGATGCCGGCTCCCGGTTGGTACTGCTTCGAGCCTCATTGGGGTGAGGTCAACACCTCACCGTCTTACTGCAAAAGAAGCTAGCGATCAGGAGCTATAGCCGCTATAGTGCAGCAGCGCCAGAACCAGCACTAGTACTCCAGTCCTAAGCATTCTAGCACTCACCAGCACCACAGCCACAAACGAGAACCACGGCCCACGACTGCTGCCACTGTTCTACAGTCATCATCCTGTTCTTCTCCCTCAGCTGCTGATGCTACAGCTGCCGCTGCTGCTGCAAAGCTGTTTTGCTCCGAACACGAACATTGAAAACTGCTGACAAACGGACAAAAGCGAAAGCGACGACACTGACATCAAGAACCAGATCACCTGAACCAAAAGCTCGCAAACGTCTCAACCCCACCCTCCCAAACGCAGTCCATGTGAGCCCATCACGCGAAGGATCCACAATTCGCGGATAAGTGCTCCAGACCGCATCGTACACAATCCGTTCCTGGGGTTCCAACTCGAGAGGAAGTAATCGTTCGGGGGGACACCAAGACACTCCGACAGTGAATGAAGGAGTATTCTCGAAGATGGAGTAGGGATCCCTGATAACTGAGGGACCCTTACTGGGAAGGGAGTGGAGCCTGGCCACTCAGCATTGCGCTTTGCGGATGCGAGTTCAAAGTTCTCCTGGTACATGAGCACCCTAAACCTTGTACCCCAAACCCAGAACTCTAAACAGTGGCAGCTAGAGCTTTCGGCCCACCAGAGCTTGTGCCCTCCAGTCTGGGGAGTTTATTCTTGCGATTATCTTTGTTGTGATTCACACATACGGCTAGTCCAGGAAATCATAAACAAAATCTTGCTGTATTGTCGAGCTTGTTCTGATTCTCTGCGTATGACTACTTTTCTTCCAGGCAGTCTCCTCTCAAGACAACTCCTTGTTCATCTCATCAAAGCACGGATTCGCAGTTGGGTTGAGCATGGAGCCCACAAGGCGTTGGTGTCTCACCCTCAACCGAACGCACACAAGTCAAAGCTGTTGAAGATAGAGTTTTAATCAGCAGTGAGTAGATCCAGCATGCACTAATGAAGGGGCCATCAGATGTCGAATGCTTTTTTGTTTTTGTGGGGTACATTAAAATTGTTGCAGTGAGGAGCCCTAGGCTAAGGAATTGTATGACTTGTAAGTTTCTTCTGACTCTGGATTTTTTACAGAGTTTTAGGCAATGCCTTCCTTGCAAACTCCTGAAAATCGACAAGCCGGTGCTTGCAGCGTGTTTGCGCTTAGGGGCTTAGGGTTTGAGGTCGAGGGTTTACGGCTCAGGGCTTCGGAATGGGGCCTTTAAGAACAAACTGCAAGCCTGAACTCTCAAACAAGCAAAACCACAGGCAATATACCAATAATGGAGCAGGTTCCAGCAACTTATGTTCATTTGCTGTATTGGGATCCAAATACGGTAGACCCTAAACGCGCTAAGTTTTATCCGAGCGGCGGAGTGGGGTGGATGGTCTTTTGCCTGCAGCGGCCGCAAAGGAAGGTCGGTCACGACTGAGTCAACAAATTTCTCCACCCAAAACCCCGGGAATGAAATTAACGCAGATCTGGCAACATCGGCTGGAAACATGCCCCGGCAGCATCACAGCTGTCTCAACTTATTTGAAGCCCTGCGTTGGCTTTTCACCTCAGTATAGAGTTCCGGAAAATCACGGGGCCTCAACAGAGATCGCAATGGCAGGGAAAAAAAAACAAGTACCTTAACGCACCAACGTGCTCTTGTTGCCTTGGCCCTACAAAACCAACCTGTGCTAGATTCTAGGCCACAACCCTGACGAGGTAGGGGGTACAGCCCAGCAGCTGGGACATAGGCCATACGCCAATCGCAATCCTGAGCTCGTCGAAGTCCGAGAAAGATCACAGGAAACACAAAGGGGCTCGCTAAGACCTACGAGATGCCTACACAGTTTCCCATGCATACCTGGCTGCCTGCCTGCCTACCTACATATGTATGTAAATTCGCATATACGGGTATGCGGGATATTCGTAGGTTTTGAAGTCATGCTGGTGTAAGTAGTGCACACACTTTGAAGACCCAGGATAGAGACTCAAAAAGCTTCTTCTCAACAAAAAATTTCTGAGCATTCTGATTCTCGGTCGTGCGTCAACTAAACATCTCGTGGGGCTCGTTCTTGGCTACAGTGCTTTGCGGCACAAGCTCCGCAATGAACTCTCTCGGCAAGAACCGATTTAATTTAAGCAGCCCGTGTTCAGCCCAACCAATTGAAGCAACAAACCCCAACGACTCACGAGAGGCTAAGCACTCTGAACCGGATCAGAACCTCCAGCTACTGCAGGCACTGGTGGAGGGAACTGGCTGATGGCCCAAACCCTGAACTGCGCGCACTGGCTTCTCGCACAAGGGTCGGCGCAGTCGTTCGAGTGGGATGCAATGGCAGAGCCGTCGGCCATAGCGTCTGCATTTACGACGATGCCTGGGTGAGGTCACTCCAAGTTTCCGAGGTGAGGTCGCAAACGACAGTGACATGTGGACGAGAAGCATGCTGCCGAATTGTAAAGCGGAGCAAACAAGCAATCAGCTCAAGCCTTCATGGGACAGAAGGCAGCATGGATTGCTTTCCAAGTAAGAAAGGGACCCTGTGCCGGCGTCAGCAGCGGCTGCCAATAATCACCCAAAGATTTCTTCAGAATCTGTACGTTTCAAGCCTCTCAAGTCCAGGAAGAGTCTGAAAGTTGCTAAGGCACTAGTGCAGCCATCGATGTCAAAGCCACCTGCAGCAATGGCGCCGTCCAGACCACCCGGAGACTTTGACTAAGAAGCCAGTGCTTCCCATTTGCCATTTACCCTCGGCTACGCTGCTACCTCGAACAGCAGCAACACTCACGGCCTGTACATGACATGCCCCTCAATCCTGCACTCTTCCTGAAACACGCCCGCACATGCAATCTAACTGCTGAGAAACAAAAAACCCCGCGGCCCTATTTCCCAAACCCGTCTACCAATCCCAAATCGCACAGAGCTTTGCAAAACCTGAGAAGCCCCTAATCTGCTAAGACTTTCCAAGTCACGGCCTCATCTCAAAACGAAAGCTAAGCCTAGAAGCCTCGCCGGCAACCTAGAATCTAGAACTCAAAGCCTTGAGTCTGATACCCAGCTGCTGCAAACAGAATCCCTAAATTCGATGCTATAGATCACAGCCCAAAAGCCTTGTCTTTGCTTGTCAAGTCTACCCATGAGCTCTTAGTAGTTCCTTTTTGGGATTACCTTATAGGACTATAAGCCACAAAAAGGAACTACTTAGGGGCCTACGGGTGGACAGACCCGAAGGCGAAAGCCTAAAACCCGATCCCCTAAATCCCGAACCCTCAGACCCAAACGCGAATGTCTGTTTCGACTCTCGGGCTTATAGGGTTTCTTTATGGCTTGTAGTGGTTAACACACACCAAAGTCACCAAAGCCCGAAAAAATCCGAAACCCCTAAAACTTCCAAAGCTGGAGCTACTTTGAGTGCTTGCGGCAGAGCACCGGCGCCGGTGAGCAGTGCGAGGGACACCGCGAAACACCGGACCATAGGCACCTGATTGAGACGAGTCTTAATCGGAATTGTACCGGTTTTCATCAGGCTTTCAATCTAGAGTTGTGAAATCCAAAAGGTTAAAAGGGCCTTGCTAGGGTCTAATGGACAAGTAAGAACCTAGACTGCCATAGTCTGTTGCTGGCACTGTCGGTTTCGTGATTTGGTCGCGCAAACTTGCGAATTTTTAAGCACAATTTCTCTATCAGCTACGACGAGGAAGCTTCTGATCCACCGGCAGGAGTTAAGGATGAGTTGAGTGTGTCATCGCAGCTGAGATGTCAGGGGTTGCGGGAAGGTCAACTTACTTGAAGATGGCGCCGTTCTCCGCTAGTTTTATTGTTGGTGGTGGTGGCTCTACGACTTCTACAGTCGTGAGCAAGCGGCCCCAAGCACTCTGGGAAACCGAGACCTGTCTTTATCACAACTGTCCCACGGCTGGCAGCAGAATTCAGTCAGGTAGACACAAATCTACTTCTCGGAAATCGTTCTTCAGTTCAGTCTGCTCCCGCGCACCTACCGGCTTTGTACTGCGATCCTTCTCAGGGCTGGCAGTTGGATAAGCGCTTTTGTAGGTACCATCAGCCCAACACATTCTTGCTGTCGTCGTTGCAACTTGCCAAGACATGTAGTTGGGAAAAAGCAGCATTCCGCCAAGCTGCTACAGTCCTGCCGCCGTCCGAAGGTCCTCACTTGCTGTGCGTGCAGGGGTTATACAATCACATCATGCTACCGTAAGCCTGAACTTTCCCGGTGAACTCTGCGCTTCTGCACTTGCCTTGTGCTTGGCAGTCCTGAACGATGGCAGCTGCAAACAAGCAGGATATATATATATATATAGATAGGAGTTGCAAGTTGCAAAATGGAAAATTAATCCAAGGGTCTCAATATTAAAAGGGTTCACATTTAAAGAAATTTTTTGGGGGCTTGTTGGGTCCGGAAGAGGAGTTTCCATTACGTAGGCGTTTGCTGGCTTTGCGACCTCAAAAAAGGGTTCACATTTAAAGAGATCATTCCGGAAAGCCTAGGTTTGGCAGTAAAGTAGTAAAAGATAGGCCTCTACTAAGGCTGTAGCTGCAGCAAAGTAGTATCAGATAGGCCTCTATTGAGGCTGTAGCTGCAGTAAAGTAGCAAAAAATGGGCCTCTACTAAGCCTGTAGCTGCAGTAAAGTAGTAAAAAATGGGCCTCTACTAAGCCTGTAGTTGCAGCAAAGTAGTAAAACATAGGGCTTTACTAAGGCTGTAGCTGCAGTAAAGTAGTCAAAAATGGGCCTCTACTAAGCCTGTAGCTGCAGTAAAGTAGTAAAAAATGGGCCTTTACTAAGCCTGTAGCTGCAGCAAAGTAGCAAAAAATGGGCCTCTACTAAGCCTGTAGCTGCAGTGAATACTCCAGACTGCTGCCTTTCTGCAGGCTTGCAGTGCCCACCCCCCAATCATTCTATTATTGCGACCCCCCACTTTCCATTAATGTGACCCGCCTAATCCCTGGACCCATTGGGGAGCGGGGGGGCCCCCCCCCCCTATTATTGCGACCCTCGGATTAATGACTACCTATACTATTTTGGGGCGGGCTTCTTTATTCTAAGTAAAGTATGATGGGCCCGTTTAGCGTTTCGGGTTGAGGATTTAAGGCTCAGGAGGACCAACAAACGCAAGGCCACCTGCGCGTCCGCCCCTCCACCGGCGTCACCGAAACTCCGCCATCCTGGACCTGCGCAGTGGGCGGCAGGCTCTCTGTTTGAGCTTCGGTGTGCGGGATTCGGAATTAGGGTTTAGGGTTTAGGAACGACTCTGTTTGCGGGTCGCTCGTTCCAACACCAAAGAACTCAACAACGCAAAACCCCAAGGCGAAGCAGAAAGAAAACACCCCCAAGCCATAACCTCCCACATGAATCCCGACTGCAAACCCCACTGACCCTCCTCTATATCCCTAGAACCCTACACCCTACACCCTGCATATATCCCAACCAGATTTCGGGAAGCGGACCCCAGCGCTTCCCACAAGTTCCACAAACTCTCACACCCCTCGCAATGCTCCGAAAGCTGGCAGGGTTCCAAGGGTTTAGGGAGTTGCTGCTCTGCTTTGGGGTCTACTGCCTCCGAGCCGTTCCAAGGAAAGGGGGCCAAAGTGCGTTCGAGGCCTCTATTATCCAAAAACAACAGAAAAAACTAACGTTTCGATCTTGGTATAATTGTTATCGCTGTGGTCATTTGCAGTCGTACCGCGGTTGTGCGGAGCGGTCAAGATTACTGCCAATACCGGTCGTATGGCTACGAATGTTAGAAATCCTGACAGAATATGAGCATGAAGACATGCATGTGAAAGATGCAGCGTGGTTGAATCTCGAAAAGGACGATAGAAAACATTCACACAGTTCTCAATAAGACAGCAATAAATCCGTTGCACGTGCCGCCGCCTGCACAGCATCGCCAACCTGCCAAGATAGACCAGAAGAGCCCAACTCGTGTCCACAATGCTTCTCTGTGAGGAACATCAAGTCGAGGGCGGGGGCGTCATGGCAAGCAGCGACGAATCACCCTAACCTGTCATATTTTGCCAGAGCTCATGAATGTCAGATTCTACAGCCGCGATCAAGAATTGCGAAAGCCTACCCGACATCAGGCGCATAGACTGCCGGGTGTGTGGATTGCGGCTGGGCAGTGGAATAGAGCAGTGGCAGAAATTGTGGAGGTAGCAAGCAGTAGTAGCAGTAGTAGCAGTGGTAGCAGTGGTAGTAGGAGTAGGAGTAGAAGTGGTGGGAGGAGTAGTGGTGGTAGTAGTAGTAGTAGCAGCAGTAGTAGTAACTGCTACAGCCTGCAAGCGTCATGGCACAGGAGGCCCACCTCCCTCTGCAGCACTGGCCGGAGTTTTTCGAACAGACACCGTGCTGGCTCCTGCGGCAATCCACAAGGAGAGTGCCGCTAAGGATCTTGGCAAGTGCAGACAGTGCCGTACGATTCGGTGTGCGTATCGTCAGAACAACAGACCGGGGGCCTAACCAGTCCGCAACATGAGAAAGGGCAGCTCAAGCAAAAGCACAAATCTCAAGGGGCTGAGATGCAACACTGGGCCTCAAGCCCTGCACGAATCCCCAACCTGACAGCTTTGTCGGCTTTTAGGACAAAGTAGCAACGGCCACCACCACACACAACCCCAACCACGACAACCACATCGACAGCACATCCCATACCACAGGTATAGAAGGTGGACAACATTGTGAATAAGCCGACTCAGCGTCATAACACTACTGACAGCAGCACCATCACCACCACCACCACCATCACCACCACCACCACCCAACGCCACCACGAGCGCTCTGGTAGCCATGGCTCGCTGCCGAGGAGCCCCAAACCTTGCAAAGCTGGAGATGCACATCGTAACCGTAAACTCTAAGTTTTTGAACCCGAGCTCTAATTAGCTCGTCAACTCAACTACCCTAAACCCTGAACTCTCATAAGTAAGTCGTAAATTCAACCACCCTGAAACATTGGCCTTTCCTCCCGAATCTGCAACTCGAGGACTGTCGAGCCCTCTGATATAACACTCTAACCCTCTAATATGAAACTCTAACCTGCTAGAGGTATTCCATTCTTTTGGTATAACCTATGACAAGATTCTAGAACATACTGAACATACCTTACACCCCAAGCCCCAGACCACTTCGAGCCGAAACATCTTCCAACCTCGAAACCCTAAACCCTGAACCCTTAACCCTAAACACTTAACCCTAAACCCGAAACTCGAAACCCTAAACCCGAAACCCTAAATCCTAAACCCTAAACCCGAAACTCTACACCCGAAACCTCGAAACTCTGAAACTCGAGCGCTTTGACCAAGCCAAGACCTGGCACTCGGGGAGATCTCTTGACAGCCTG